CAGAAATAATAATGATATCAGATAAGTAAATTAACTCATCTTAGCTTTGCGTTGGTCATTGTTTATGTTTGAGTGATGTGCTAGGAAGGCTTAAAATCATCACCATTATAGAGTCAAATGACCTCAAATCAATCAAAAGAACACAAGAATAGTAGTGATACATGATGGTTCTCTTTTTCTATGTAGGAAACATTTGGATTTTAATGCATGAAGCAAGACTCAGGTCATCAAATGAGAAAGAAATCAATCAAGCTACTACATATGAATCACTTCATACTTCGACAGCATGGTGAATGGAGTTGTCTAGGAAGTACACGATGTTAGATATTTTGATATCAAAATATGTTTATAAAATATTATAATAGAAACATAAAGAAAACTAACGTGGAAACAAAACTATGTACCTCCGGCCATTGTTATCAATAATTTCAGTAACGATTTTTTTTTTTTTTTATTTTGACACTTCTCAAGCCCAATGACCAAAATCCTTATTTATATATATGTTCTCCCATCAAGAATATTTATTATCACTAACTCACAACGTTCAAGAATTAACTTAAATTTATAACGTTTAGACCATAATAAAAATTTTTAATAATATCAAATAAAATATTTAATAATAATGGTTACATTTAGAATGAAAAATTAAAATATTTAAATCATGACAAATGAAGAAATTGATTATAATGAATGATGAACTTAACGAGAACGATTACATTATTATTAAATAAAATATTTAATAATAACGGTTACTTGGTCTTTATGTTTAGCTTAATAATTTGAATTAATCTTTATCGAATAATTTTATTGAGAAATAAATACATGAATCATAGCGATAAGTCCTCTAAGAGTGAGTATTATCATCCATGTATCACGATGTATTTAATTTCTTAATCTTAATATAGTAATATTAAATAATAAATAAACCTTATGTTTATTCTTGGTCTAGTACTAATATAGTTTCTCAAATTAATGTGCACATGAATGAAAAAATATCATAATATATATATGAGTTTCAATATAATTACAAAGTGGAACCAAGTCCCGTTTTCTCTACATGATCCTTGAATTTTAGATGTGGCATGTCTTTGGTCAAAATATCAGCAATCATCAATTTAGGTGTTAATATGCTCAATGACTATTTTCTTTTCTTTTATACATTCTAAATACTTAATGTCAATATGTTTACTTCGACTTTGACTTTTATTATTTTTAGCCATAAAGACAGCAACTAAATTATCACATAAAATTCTTAATGGCCCAGAAATATAATCTGTGATTCTAAGCCCAAAAATAAAACTCTTAAGCTACACACCATGTGAATTAGTCTCAAAATAGAAGACAAACTCAACTTCTATGGTAGAAGTAGCAGTTAAGGTCTGCTTAGTACTTCTCCAAGAAATAGCTCCACCAGCCATTATAAAAATATATCTTGATGTTGATTTACGTGAATTGCTCATCGATAGCTTATAATAAGTCTCAGACCTTCTCATGCTGGTTAACAGAATCACGTAGGTCAACATTTATCTTAGTTTTGATAAATATTACGTTGAGCCAATTGGATCGCTCCCATGGCTTATATAACGCGACCTTAGTTAGAGTGTTGATATTAGTGATTGTAGGTGGTTCGTCTTTCCTAATAGCATAATCAATATCCATCCACCCTAAATGGAGGAGAACCCTCTCCTTCCATATTTTATAGTTATCACCCCTAAGTTTGGGAATGTCACATCTAATATTAGAGAAATTAACGGTATGAGAAATTATATAAAATCAAACATGTTTATGTCAAAATTTAAGACTTAATAGTTTAAATTACATATTTTACCAATGTGAAACATGTCAAAAGATGAATCTCATGACATAAAAATTACTTGTGTGCTAAAATTTTTATTCAAATAGATTCAAATGATCTTTATGATAAAACTATCAAATTATATTCCAATTCATAATTCCTGTAGGTAAATTATGAAAATAATTTGATATTTTATCTTGATTAATTATATGAATATAATAAAAAATTATATGGGATAATAATTATTATATTAAATATAATCAGTCACAATATGATGTCTAATTACTTATGTGATCCTTATTTTAACTTTATATATACTTTTAATTAATTAAAAATATTATGACTAATTTTTAATTAATTAAGATTATATGGATTACTAGACATTTTGGACATATAAAATTGACTCATAAGCATGAATTAATATAACCAAATATGCATAAATAATATAAGCATTTTACTAACTAAAAATATTAAAAATTTTATATCCTCATTATTTTCAACATGAAATATATCAAGAAGTTTAAAAAAGAAACCAAAATCAAATCATATTCATGGTATAAAAATGAAAACCTTTTCATATCAAAGTAGATGTCAATGGCTCTAATACGAACCGTTAGATATTTTGATATCAAAATGTGTTTCTAAAACATTATAATAGAAACACAAGAATAACTAATGAGGAAACAAAATTGTATACTATCAAGAATTTCAATAACAATTTCTTCTTGATATTTTGGTACTTTTCGGCTTAGAAATATTACTTTAGATGGTATAGAAAATCTTTTAGACTTGAGATGTTGAATTAGGGACCAAAATTCTCATTTATATAGATATTCTTCCATCAAATACATTTATTATCACCAACTCATAACGTTTAAAAATTAATTCAAATTTATAATATTTAGATCATAATAAATTTTTTAATGATAATAAATAAAATATTTAAAAATAATGATTATATTTAGAATGAAAAATTAAAATATTTAAACCATAATAAATAAAGAAATGTATTATAATAAATTATAAACTCAATGAGAACGATTACATTATTATTAAATAAAATATTTAATAATAACGATTACACACCAACCATATAGAAGAAACATTAACATGGTCAATATATGTCACTGCAGACAGCATGGTCAATATATTTAGAATCTCGCTCTCTCTCTCTCTCTCTCTCTCTCTCTCTCTCATGGTTGGATTCTACCAGCATCACACGTTCTCCACAGACAGCATCACCTCACATTACTCAAGATCCGAGGGTGACTTGTTCCACCACCGCCTTTGTTGGCTCATCTGTCACACCCACTCCCTCTTCCCTTCCCCACCATAAGGGCATTCCAAAATCAAAGGAAGACTACCAAGACAACGCATGCAAAGATACTCCTTTTTGTGTCTGCCATCTTCCTTCTAGTCTCTCGAATCCTCTCATCCTACCTTCGTTCTGCACCTTTCATGTTGGACTAGCTTGGAGGCGCTAAATGAGTACATGAAGAGTGTAGATACAAAACCAACCTTCATTGTTTCATTGTCAATCCTACAAATATATTGAACTTATGAGTTGTTTCAACTCTATTCATTTCTTATTTCCATCATTTAGGCCAAGATCACTACTCTGCCTCCACAAAAGCTGGAGTTGGTGTAGGTAGTCAAAAAAGTCGGGGTTCCAATCGGATAGGCTCCACAAAAGATTGGGAGTTGGGAGGGGATGCTATATGGCTAGTGGATGGATAACTTGCGGTTGACTTGGGTTTGGAAGATGCTATTGCTTTCGACCAAAGTTCCTAAAAGAGAATATTGTGCTTTCGAGGCAGGGAAATGTCTTTAATGCTTATGAATTGGGAATCTTGTCCATCACTTATCAATTCTGCCCTCTCTCTTTCCAACAAATATTACAAGTTATATATTTATCTTTTTTTAAGAAAATTAAAGGATGAAACTTTCCTTACATTAAACAACATAAAAAAAAAGTTTTAAAGATGAACTTATGTAAATATTTATATATATAATAAGAATTGATTATATTTTTATAATATAATCACCTTTCCCCCTTTTTTTGACCTTCCTCTATATTATACTGTTTATCCACATGTAAATTAGGTGAAACATTTGATCTTTTTGCGTTCAAAGTCAAATTCATTGACCTATTGCAACCATAGTGTTCCGTAAGAAACATGATTTGGTACCTAATATAACTTTATCCTAATTGAAGATGTTAACAAGCGTACCCGATAAAGATCTTGACTGATTCTCGAGACCAAGTTTCATATTTTTAGTAAAAAATAATCTTGATCAATGATAAACTTACTATAATATTTAAATAATTTTGTATTGATCATGAAAGAATATTTTGTAAAGCATGAAAGGACACCTCACCGGTGGAGACTTTGCAACCACAATGGTTGACAATAGATAGAAGGATGAAGGTGGGGTATGTATGAGCGAGATTATGAGCATCCATGAAGCTTATATTTGAGACTATAACTATAATTTAATTTGATTTTTCTATACCAAAAGTATTTCATCATGTTGTAAGTTGAGAGGTTGAGATCTCTATCTCAAAATAACCATATTCTTACTAACTAGCTTAGGAAAACATTTTCATATATTTCCATGACTCAATCTATACCATCATAATTATTGGTCTAATGATTCAAACAATCATGTGCTACATTCAAGAAGAGGGTGATAGCATGAATAAAATGCTTACATGATGCCAAAGACATAAGAAAGATTTGCTTCCTTCATGTGAACCATATCTTCAAAAGCAATGACAATTTTTTGTGGGGTCACACTCTGATTCATGAAAGCAGTGATGAGCCAATTTAGGTCATATTCAACTCTTCTTTATCTCAATCACACTTTTGCAATTATTATATTTTTGCTGACCAAACTCCACCTTTTGTCAAAAGGCATTTGACATCTCAAACATCGACTGCTACAAATGCTTAGCAGCACAATCAGGGAAATTTGAACATGGGCTGCTCTGAACAGCAATGCCTTTGCTTCCCTGTTCTCTAGTTCACATCATGGATTAAAAAGAAAGTACAACAAGAGGTGATCAAGACATCCATTGTGAAGGACCTCCAAGCTAAGTCAAGATCAAAGCTCAATAATTCACTCTCAACAGTTCAGGGTTTAGCTTTTCCATTCATAGATCACAGATGATAATAACAAAGAGCTCACCATGTGAGGCTACAACTTTAAGGTGTAGAATCACATTTATTTACTGTGATGGCATGAACACAGAAGAGACTGATAATTGGCACTCAAATTTTCAAAGACAAGGAGGACCTCTACTTGATGAAAATAAATATTGATTTACTGTATATTCTCATCGCATAAATGAAGAATTGATTTACAATCTATCTGGTGTTTGCTATTGTCTTAAGCTGCATAGAGCGAGAATATACACAAGTACAATTGCAATACTGGTCCATAGCAGATTGGCAAATGCAATTTGTGATGATCCATTGACATCCAGCTGCCCGGCATTCAGGTACTGGTTCTTACCAGACGATGATGCACTGACATTGACAGACAGAGAACCTGAACACAACATAAAGGTTTGAATTATTCTGAAAAGGGATCATGAAGGAAGGCGGGGACTTATAGGTGATCAGACTTACAATCATAATTTGTCCACCCTATGCGCTGATTCGCCAAGTCATAAACAAATATCTTATCCTTTAGAACAAGGTCTGGAAAGAAGAAAGCAATGCTTTGGTTAGATATGGAACATGGATCAGAAATGGTACATGTGGGTGCTAAACACAAGGCAGTAGCAGTACTTTTTCTGCCGGATAAATTTATTCATTATTCCATTTCTATGGTATTTAGCTGTGAATTTTCTGCTGCAAACAATTCCATGTGCAAAATCTCAATGTTCTACATCAAGATATAAAGAGTGGTGACAGTGGATAATCATGCTAGTAAGCCTAAATCTCACAGGTGTCTTCTAATCATGCTTTCTGGTAATATATCTTGAATGGCCTTGCAGAACGATATAGCCATAAACATGAAAAGAATAGCAACCTAGTTATTGTGTGTGCCAGAGGCAGCTGCATCATTAGAATCTGAAATCATGACGAGGATGCACAAAATGTTGGCATTGCAAGTTTTTACCAAACATGGTAGTAGACATAATAAATTTTGGAAGTATTATCTAACATGATCCATTGTTGTTGTTTCAATTGATGAAATTGGAGTAGGTATATAAGCTATTAATTAAATTTACAGATGGATAAATTTTACAATTTATCAGACAATTAATAAATGTGCTGAATATGATGCTGCTAATATTTAATCAAACAATACAAATGATAAGTCTGAGAGAATGATCCAGAGAAATTAAAGCTAGAAGCTTTGATGCCTTTACTATTAGTTCAAATAGGAAAGACTGATATTATTAATGCTCACAATTGCAGAAGTAGATTATTATGTTGTGTATATGCTGATAAAAAATGGCATTACTGTGCACAAGCTATAAGAAGATTAAAGTTTCTATAAACAAAGTGGACATTAAAAATGAATGCGTTATACTCGTGTGCTATCCTAAAACTTCATACTATTCTATAGAACAAGTTTGGCATACATTAGCATTTAGCAATCTGTTCCAGAAAATTCAAAGGAATATAATTGCTAAGGGCAATCATGAATGCAATACTAACAAATACGTATCCCACCCAACTGACATGTTTAGTTTACTAACCTCCTAGGATTGTTATTCCTGAGCCCTGGTTCTTTTGCCAGCCAATACACCATATAATAGAATTATCCTGCACACAGAGTTGATTGTATTCCATCATATATGTTTAATAAAATAATGAGTTTCTGGGACATTATATAAATATTTTTGTCATTGCTATACAGTAGCTCCTCTTATGGACAGAGAATAAGGATTTACCAATTACCAGTATCTAAATGCATATCTTCGTACCAGTACAATATTGTTCATTTTATTAATTTTTATTGTTTAATTCAATTATACCAGAGAGTATAGATCAGTATACCACCTGGTATACTGGTACCTATCCGATTGGTTATAATGGGGCCAATCTTCAAATCCTTTAAAGAGATCTGGAAAGATACTTACAACGGAGCCTTGCTGCAATAGGTAATCCTCAGGCTTTAGTGGCATGGATGCACCACCCGCGAATTTCAATGTAACAGAAGGAAATGATTCATCAACACTGGAAATTTAAAGAAGCATTAGGATGTTAAGAATTTGAAAGCAAAGCACCACAATATTATATAAGTTAAATTGCACAAAAGACAGTATCAAAGTTTGGGGTGTAGGATAAACCTGCTTAAAGTAACGAAACACTCATTTCCCCTGGAAGGAATCGAACGCACAGATGATGAAAGAGAAGAAATTATCTGCAAATTGGAGAACACACAAATATGACATCAACACAAACAAATAAAAGTGTAGTTTACAAAAGAAAGTCTTTCATGCTTTTTCTTATTAATAATTTTTCTACATCATGATTTTTAGGATTAGAAGTGACAAGTTAGCTTACAGCATTAACAAAAGGATCATAAGCCTGTTCAGCAAGGTAAGTCAATGTGGTCCCCGAGTCAATGATGGTTCCTTGTGTGTTTGATGTTGCAAACACTGACGGTTCAATAGATAGTGTTTGCCCGTTGACAGCAATACTCTCCAAATTCAAGTTGTAATGAGACCTGAAATACAAACCAAGGTGGTCAGTATACAATAACAACAACAACCAAAAGTTCTTCAAAATAGCAAGAGAAAAAACATTCAAGTAATTGTGGTTTCAAACATCCCAAGGAAAATACATGTCTGTGAATAAAGAGCACAAAATATATAGCATGAATTGTATGATCTGCATAGAAGGATCAGTTGGAGGACACAGTTTTTACGCAAGAATTTGTGCACCTTTTAACATTCTTGAGTTCTCAAAGAAAAATCAGGAATTTGGACACTTTCCATTTGAACATTCACGGAGTCAATTAATTAAGGTTCATATCGCAACAAACTATGATCTCTCTAATGTCAAAAAGGAAAAAGCAGCAGCTAGCTCAAAACTCTTACTTTGGCTTTTTCCTACCAGAGTTATCAGGACACAGATTACAAGGAAAGACCAATCAACAAAAGAATGTACTTCATGTCATAATTTGAAGCACGGTTCATAAGTTCTCAGAAGCTAAAAAAACTGGCCCACATTCTTCCTCTTTGCTGCTGCAGTACCTCCATATACAGGATTATATTCCACCTCCGTATATTAAAATTTTTCCATCTTCTACAAAGCTCTTGATCTCCAACCTCCTATCCAAAATCTCTTCCACCAATAATTATTATGTTTGTAAAAGTTTCCATATCATGCAGCTAACTCGAAGCAACAAGTTACCATTGTAATCTGGTTTTCTTTTAGTGGCTGCAAATCTGGTTTAATTTCAATTTAATAAATAAAAAACAAACAAATGTTGCAGTATGAGAGATAAAAGTGTTATCCACATTGCACATATTAAAATACTATATAAAATCCCACAGTAGGTTATTTGTAAGCCACTAGTAGGTTGTTTGAAGCTAGATTATATGTTACACATGTGGAACATCTAAGCAAAAAAGTTTCTCGGAAAGGCATAAATATACCCAAGTATAAAAGAAAGGAAATATGCACTGATGGCAAATTGACATTGAAAAGGATGGTATTTCTGAGAAAGGAAGCGTTTCAATAATTACAGGATGCCACATCTGTACAATCCCAATATATTAGTTTTAGTGATCTTGACCAGAATATTGCAGTCATTCGTTTTATTCATTAGCATTAAACTGTCATATCGAAGACCACTTACTGTGAGGGAACAAGTGGGGTATAGACAATACCCGGTTCTACAATCTCTCCAAGAACCAATATGCCTCCACCATTTTCTGACCCCTTCAAGCAATGAGAAAAAACTTTAGGGGCGACACCAATAGAGGATAGCTGCGATATGACAGATAGTTCATGCTGTCCGAAACCAAAAATCCCGTCAACTGCCCTATCTGACTTCATCAAGTCTCCAGATTGTGAGTTGCTACATCTGTTCAAATGGTAATTCACAATCTGTAAGTAAGAAATCAAATTCCTATTTTCAGCTCTAAGTTACATCAGCTCAAACTAAAGGAAGAAAAACATAGTGTTACACTTGTTGGCAAAGAAAGAATAAAGACAAAAACAAATGGCTCTAGATGTAAAGGAGAGAAGGTGACTAATAGATTACTAAAGACAAGAATCATTTATCAATTCAGCAAAGGAGAGAACCTGACTAATAGATTACTAAACACAAGAATCATTTATCAGTAATGAGTCATGTTACCACAAATGAAAGAAGAAGCCATTTATTTTCAGGGATGAGAGTTCCACTATTAACAGAAATTTATATTCTCCTATGATAGAATGATATACATGAATTTTTATGGTGCAGAAATAGAAACCAATTCTTCCTCAATATCAAGGCAAAAAAACCACATAAAGACAATAAAGTGAGGGTTGCAAATCTTTCCCTAGACTAGAAGTTTTCAACATAAAAAAAGAAAAATCTTTTGCACATCAAACAGCTGCAATGATATATAAGATGTCAACCTATGAAAATTGAATCTTGGTAATAAATTTACCCAAAAACAATTGTAGCTGAAGAATTCACAATCTGCTCATTTCCCAAAACTGTATCAAAGTATATAGTATCAGATACATAAAATCCATTGGTGCCACTCCCATCACCATACTGGAATGAGTAACTGCAAGGAGAGCTTGAAGAATCAGAAGTTGAGCACAATGCCTCTCCGGTTTCGAGGGCAGAGGTGCACCGGTCATCGGAGCAACTTATTCGTGACGATGACAATGACTTGTCAGGGTCAAAGAACTCCAGCTGGATCTGCAAACGTGCAATGATAGTTTATGTAACCAATCCTCATTGGAGTTCTGAAAAAGATATGACACCTTAAGATTGATGGCTCAAAGACTTGTCAAGCTGACATGGATTACTCCATGTCATTGATCCATAGAAATTAGAAATAGATCTTACATTCAGCCCACTGGATGTTGGGCACCCATTGCACGGATTGCATGTCACCCACAAGATATCGCTTCCCGTATCAATCTGTACATAAAATTCTTTTGCTGGGTTCCCCAGTTTCACGCGAGTAAAATAAAGCCTGCAATTACATTGTTAGACTCAGGACAGCTTAAATGCACAAAAAAGAAAAGAAAAAGTTTTATATACCACCACCGAAAGAACCCAACAACGTTCTTTATTTTCTTTTTGGTGGAGAAAGCAGAAAAGGAAACCAAGAAGTTTCAGGACAGGAGAGGTGGAACCAAAATAAGTACGTACGGATCATTTATGCCACAGAAACACGTATTTTGCAGATAGATAACAACAGATTTCCCAAAAAAGAGCCAATTTTCCGCTGCACTTGCGTTAGAATACCAAGCTTTGGATCAAATTCCAAGGTTCAGACCATTCTAAAACAGCCACAAAGCGCATACCAAAGGCAACAAGATCGAACTTTGAATCGATTTCAGCCACAAGAATAAAGAATCCGCAAAAAGATTCCTGAAAAGAAGAAAGCGAACAAAAGCAACAAAGTAGAATTTTTCGGAACGAAGAAAGATACCCCACGGTGAAGGGGTTGGCGGATCCCTCGACGGGGAAATCCACCACGCCTGCGGCAGCAGACGCCGGCGAGGAGGATGCGCCAAGCAGGGACCGGCCGTGGCGGGCACGGTCCCGAGCTCTGAGATGCTCCAGTCCGACCCCTCTCGTCGGCAGCGCCCTCTCCAGCCTCAGCTTCGCCGGGAATCCCGCATCCGCCCCGGCCGAGTCGGAGGCGGCGAGCGCGGTCACCGCCCAGGCCGCGATCAGCAGGATCGCCGGCGGTCTCCACATCTCCCTCTCACCCACCTACCCTACTCGCAATTCTTCTCTTTTCAGAATAGCAATCCCTCGAATTCTTACAAACGAAGAGTCGACAAGGAGGAGGAGGAGGAGGAGCAGAAGGAAAGGCAAAGGGAAAGGGATTACGTGACCCGCTGCTCGCATTTATACGCCTCGCTTCCCCTTCTCCACCCTCTCTCCTCTCTCTCTCTCTCTCTCTCTCTCTCTTTACCCCTTGCGGACTCTTTCCTTTTTCTTTCCTTTCGAGCCAATCAATGTCAATGATGGCTGTTATTCGAGCCCCCAAGGATGACTGGGATACCACACGAACGATCCCTGATCTGCCGCCCTCGTTGAAGCTTTTAGAAAACGGTCATTTCTTGTGGGCTGTCCGACCTCCTCACGGGCCCACCAAAGCAGCCGTGTTTGATTAGGGCCTGTTAGCGGGTAAAATTCGAATCCGTAGCAAGATTCGGGTCGGGTTTGGAACCAGGATCCGCATCTGATCTGGTTAAACTATTCCACCCAAATCGGAGACATTTTGTCCTAAATTTCGGATCGGATGTTGGTTATCGGACTCCATCCACATGACTTAGCACTGTACCTCCTGATCTCATTCCTTGTGTCACACAAAGTACTACTACTACTACCTTTAAATTAGACCATGCAATGATGTGTGGGAATGGTGGTGGAGGAGAACTACATGAACTCGAGCAGTTTCTAACCTACCTTTATTACTTTATGGATTTGGTTGATTAATTAATTAGGGTTTGGCCACAGAGAGAGAGAGAGAGAGAGAGAGAGAGAGAGAGAGTACTACTT